GCTCTGAGCCAGGGAGCCCTGATCACATGACATCAGGTGCCCCAAACTCCTTCTGATGGACCTGTCCCAGCCCTGGCCACCCAGCTAAGGCCCTCAGCCCAGATCTGTCCAGCCCCTAAATCCCCTTCTGGCCTGGCCCCTAGAGCCTCCTCCTCCCACCCGTGCCCCCAGCATGGCCCCTAGATCCTGCCCCCCCAGCCCCACTGAGCCAGGGAGCCCTGATCACATGACATCAGGTGCCCCAAACTCCTTCTGATGGACCTGTCCCAGCCCTGGCCACCCAGCTAAGGCCCTCAGCCCAGATCTGTCCAGCCCCTAAATCCCCTTCTGGCCTGGCCCCTAGAGCCTCCTCCTCCCACCCGTGCCCCCAGCATGGCCCCTAGATCCTGCCCCCCCAGCCCCAGCCAGGTCCCACTGGAATCAGTGTCTGCCCCCACTTCCCACCTACGTCCCTGTCCTCGCTCTGCCTGGGACCTTCAGACCCTGCTCAGCCCCATCTCCAGCCTGGTCCCCAGTGGCCATGGAGCCCTGTGCCCAGAGGCTCCGCCCCAACCCCAGAGTCTCCGCCCCTAGTGCTCACTCCATGAAGAAGGCCTTGTAGACACTGAGGCCCAGCAGCAGGGTGAGGGGCAGGCGGTAGCGCTTGGGCAGGTCGTAGCGAGTGAACATCCACACCAGGGCGGCCATGGCGATGTAGTGAACCTGAGGAGGGAATGCAGGGGATGGGGTGTCAGAGAGCAGGGCACTGCCCTAGGGAAGATCACAGCAACAGTGGCCCTCTTCCCCTCCCCACAAACTGTGGCATGGTCCTGGAGAAGCACACAGCACCAGCATGTCCTGTTCCTTGGGGATGGGGCACTGTCCCAGGGAAGCTCACAGCACTGGTGCATCCCCTGCCTTGCTGCTGGGGCACTGTTCTGGAGAAGCTCACAGCAGCAGAGAAACCCCCTTCCTCCGAGCTGGGGCACAGGCCTGGGGAAGCCAACAGCAGAAGGCCAAGGCAGCAGTAGGGGGTTCTCACCAGACTGATGTTGGAGTCGATGCTCATCTGGATATATTTCCAGTCAAACTCGATGCCACGGGCTCCCACCCAGAGAGGAATGCACCTGGCAGAGATACAGAGCGGGGTCAGAGGCTGCTCACCCCAAACCCCGGAGCTGGGACACACAGGGAGATGCAGCCACCTCTGGGGTGAGGCAGCTGGAGAGCAGCTGCACAGAACGTCAGGACAGGAAGTGAAGGAGAATCCTCTCTCTCTAGGACATTTCACAGGGCCCTGAGTTTCCTGCAGCACAGCGCCCCCTAGTGCCACGCTGGGGCCAGCACTGCCTGTTGGGGAGAGCCCCCTGTCCCTGCAGCACAGCGCCCCCTAGTGCCATGCTGGGGTCAGCACTGCCTGCTGGGGAGAGCCCCCTGTCCCTGCAGCACAGCGCCCCCTAGTGCCACGCTGGGGAATCAGGGCCCATCCAAGCTCTGAGCCCACCTAGGCTGGCCATGCAGGAAGACGGGTCCCACCTGGACATGACGAGCTCGGCCGTGGCCCAGCCCATGGCTGCCACCATGATCTTGTACTCGCCCTTCCCTGCATTTCTCGACATCACCAGGTGCAGCCCCACCAGGTCAGCCAGGTCCACTGTGGCCTTCATAAACTCCTGGGGAATACGAAGGGTTAAACGGCGTCCCTCACTCCCTACCCACAGCCCCTGCTAGCCCAGCCCTGGGCTCCCCCCAGCCCCAAGCTGAACTTACCCCCACAAAGTCGTAAGCCCCAACTCCACCTTCCCAGGTGGGAAAGAAAGTGGCCAAGAACAGCATCTGGAATGAAAAGCAATGGGAGACGGCGCGTCACAGCCCCCGGCCCGGCACCCCCGGAGCAGCCAACGAGCCCAGCAGAGTCTCCTGCTTCTGCCCACGCCCCAACCAGATCCAGGGAGCGAACCCAGGAGTCCTGGCTCCCAATCCTCCCTCCCTGCTCTAACCACTGGTCTCCCTTCCCCTCCCAGAGCTAGAGAAATCCCAGGAGCACCCAGGCCCTGCTTGCAGGCTGGCAGAGGGTGGAGCAGGGGAGGCTGCCCAGCACGTTGAGTGTGTCTGGGGGTCCGACCCCCTGCTGCTGCCCCA